CAAATAAAAGGTTTTCCTGATTTAGGTTCACAATCAACATTAGGGCTGATAAAAAGGGTCAACCTCACTTAACATAAATTTATACTAGTGAGGTCGGTGCTGAGTCACAGTCGCTCTTATTCAAATCCTGCTAAGCATCTTTCGAGGACAACCAACATAAATGTTTCAGTTCTAAGGTAGACCTAAATTAAGCCGTTAATTACCTCTCAACCCAACCAATTCAAATCGTCGCACGTCGCACAACACGTTATTCACAAGTTTTAATCCAAATAATTAATAAAAGTTCATATCTTGCACTTTCTTTATAAATTCCAAGCTCTTCTCCTCATTCTCTTCACCTCAAACCACTCTTCCTTGCTGCTTCCAAATTCCTTCTCCTATACCAATGGCGCTCTGCTGCAACAGCTCCCCATTCGACTGCCTTCTCATCGGTAAGCCTCCGCTCCTTCCTTCCCCCATTAAATTCCAAGAATAATTAAATCACGTTAATTAATCCTATTCAGATCTGGATGACACTCTCTACTCGCCGAACCTCGGCATTTCACAAGCCTTGAGGAAGAACATTGATGGTAGGACCAAACATCCCCTGCTTCACTCCAATCCATCATCTCTCCAATAGTTGATGTCTCTCTTCCTTACAAACTTTCTATTATTCTCTCCGCAGATTTTCTTGCAATAAAGTGCGGATTGCCTGCAGAACAAGCGTCATCCCTTCGCATCGAGCTCTTCAAAAAATACGGCAGCTCCCTCGCCGGCCTTTTGGTTAGTCTTCTCTTCCCCTGCCTTCATCTTCTTCTCAAAAAATTCAAAAAAGTTTCAATTTTTATGATCCTCGTTCTTCAGGCTCTCGGTTACAAAGTGCACCCAGATGAATACCACAGGTCCATACCATCACCGATCAAATTATATAAAATTTTCTAATCAATGTCTTAGGTTGAGAAATCTAAATAAACCTCTTTTCTCCTCTCTGAACGCTTTCAGTTTCGTGCACGGCTTGTTGCCGTATGAGAACATCCGACCGGACTCGCAGCTCCGAGAGCTCCTGCTGAGCATTCCGCAGACCAAAATCGTGACAATCTTACTTTAACATAATTCATATATGCACGTCTAGATCTTCTCCAAGCCGTTTATTTTGCTGATTATCTATGATAAAATACAGATATTTACGAATTCGGATCGGAAGCACGCAAGCAGAGTTTTGGAGAGGCTCGGCATTGAGGAGGAATGCTTCCACAAAATTATCTGCTTCGAGACCCTCAATCCAGAGCTTTTTGACACCACGCCGGAGCCGGCAACTGTCTGCCAGCCGCCGGTGGTGGTTCTCAAGCCCTTAATCGCCGCCGTTGAGGCAGCTGTTCACATCGCCGGCTTCGAGCCTCGCCGCACGGTATAATGAATTAAACAAAATTAAATAAGAAAAAAAAGGCAATAATACCTTGATCAGAATAAAAATTAGAATTTTTAAACTGATTTTGAGATGGATGAATATAAATAATAAAATTTATAAAATTGATGATAATTTTCATTGATTTAGAATCAAAT